AAGGTTAGATGAAAGAAAGCATTTTAATAGCAAATAAAATGATATATTACTCTACTTCTTTTACTGCTACAAGCGCCGGAATATGCGTAAAAGGAAATATTCATTTTCGCTTTCTTTTTCCTATTTTCTGAACATAATTGTGAAGCCCTACATCAATCAATGCTCTGAATAATAAACTTTTGTGATGCCCTCGATAGAAAAAAGAGTGATTATTTTCATAATTAAAAATGTTATGTAACCCAGTACTGCAATCAGTTTTTCTGGTAAAAATACTTCAAATAAAACGAAGATGATCCTTATTTTCTAATAAACTCATGCATTGTCAAGTATAAATTCAGAAAGGAGTAAAGATAAGCGCAATAGCAAGTGCCAGATACCGCTGAAATATCAAATCGAGCATTTTCCATCTGACCCAAAATACGAGATACGTACACCCTAATAAATCTTTATGAACACAGAGCCATACATTATCAACTATACTAACCTTATACATAAACAAGACATAGGTTAGGAATCGAGGACAGATATATGAACAAGACTCATGTTTTTTAATTGAGGACAACCAAATAAACAAGGGATAAGTTTTCTAGAATTGAGGACGTCCTCATTAACAAGACACAAGGTTTGGAGCCGAGGACATCCTCATTGATTAACAAGGCACAAGGTTTAGGACCGAGGACATCCTCATTAACAAGATACAACGTTTAGAACCGAGGACATCCTCTTTAACAAGTCACAGGATTTGATTTGAGGACATCTACATAATTCAAGACCATGTATGGGACGGAGAGAACACATATTAGTCCATTAATGAAAACCAACACAAACAAAGAAAGCATAACATTAAACCAGACAGAAGTTTCCATAAAAAACTGTCGGAAAAAGGAATAATTTTTATTTTGTTTACTCAACCGGAATTGATAGCATAATTGCTAGAACCTTCAATGATACTTGTGGAATAGGAACGCCTCAGACAATATTAAATAAAAATTTTGAGCAGACTTCGTTACTTGGTCACTACCTCGACACCCTCAGTCTGAGTAGACCCTTGGTTACTACCTCGATACCCTCAGTCTGAGTAGACCCTTGGTCACTACCTCGACACCCTCAGTCTGAGTAGACCCTTGGTTACTACCTCGATACCCTCAATCAGAGTAGACCCTTGGTTACTACCTCGATACCCTCAGTCAGAATAGATCATTGGATACTATCTCGATACCCTCAGTCTGAGTAGACCCTTGGTCACTACCTCGACACCCTAAGTCTGAGTAGACCCTTGGTTACTACCTCGATACCCTCAGTCAGAGTAGACCCCTGGTTACTACCTCGATACCCTCAGTCAGAGTAGGCTCTTGGTTACTATCTCGCTACCCTCAATCAGAGTAGACCCTTGGTTACTATCTCGATACCCTCAGTCAGAGTAGGCTCATGGTTACTATCTCGATACCCTCAATCAGAGTAGACCCTTGGTTACTACCTCGATACCCTCAGTCAGAGTAGACCCTTGGCCACTACCGCGATGCCCTCAGTCAGAGTAGACACTTGGTTACTATCTCGATGCCCTCAGGCAGGGTACACCCTTGGTTACTACTTCGATACCATCAGTCAGAGTATACCCATGGTTATTACCTCGATACCCTCAGTCAGAGTAGACACTAGGTTACTATCTAGATGCCCTCAGTCAGAGTACACCCTTGGTTACTACCTCGATACTCTCAGTCAGAGTAGACCCTTGGTTACTACCTCGATACCATACGTCAGAGTAGACCCTTGGTTACTACCTCGATACCATCAGTCAGAGTATACCCATGGTTACTACTTCGATACCATCAGTCAGAGTAGACCCTTGATAACTACCTCGATGCCCTCACCTACTACCTTAATATCCCTCCGTCAGAGCAGAATCGTGCTTACTACGTAGATACCATCGGTCACAACAACTCCTGTCGACTACCTAAATATCCACAACTTCCTTGAACCATTTGAACAGCTGATATGAAAGCACATTACCTTAACCAAGTAAGGGATTATTGTAATACAATGTACCAAATACTGCTGAAAGTCATTGATTTTTTCCATAGAGGTTTTAACTGATGTCTCTTATACGCTTACTGCCTCCTTACCTGTCATTTTGTTAATGAATAGCACTGATAAGATAGCTAAGACCACTAATGAATAAATGTGATTTAACAATCTGGTCACGTAGGCATCCACTTCCTTAATTAATAACGATTATGTATAACAGAGATGAGTAAGACATCTTCATATGCAGGGTTCTATATATATTCAAATAAATCCACAATAGCAAGCGAAGAAGACTTGATAGACCAATTCAGAATAAAGCATTAACATTATGAGGTCACCAAACACCATACAGTCTATATATGACATCACCTGATATACGCAAGATTGTATTTACCTAGTCGGACACTAGACAATAAATCAGGCTGTTATTTGACCAAGTCCTGCAGTCAGACGTTTTTAGGTTAAAAACTTCAGCTAAAGCAAAGATTATTCTGATTTTCTTATAAACTCCTGCATTGTCATGTAAAAGTTTAGGAAGGAGTAAAGTTAAGTACAATAGCAAATACCAGGTACCGCTGAAATATCAAATCGTGCATTGTCTAAAGTAAGTCGTTACGATTCCCATCGGAATCAAAATACAAGATAAGTATGACCTAATAAATCTTTATGAACACAGAGCCATACATTATCAACTATACACAACCTTAAACATAAACAAGACATATGTTTTGGAATCGAGGACAGAAATATGAACAAGACTCATGTTTTGGAATTAAGGAAATCCACATTATCAAGACACAATGTTTAAGAACTGAGGACATCCTCATTAACAAGACACGTGATTTACAGCAGAGGACATCCTCATTAACAAGACAAATGGTTAGGAATTGAGGATATCCTCACTAACAAGACACAAGTTTTAGAACAGAGGATATCCTCACTAACAAGACACAAGTTTTAGAACAGAGGATATCCTCACTAACAAGACACAAGTTTTAGAACAGAGGATATCCTCACTAACAAGACAAAAGGTTAGGAATTGAGGGTATTTATCCGTGTCTAAGACCACGTATGGGACGGAGAGAGAACAGACGCTAGTCTATTTGTGAACATCAACGTAAATGAATACAGCATAACATAAAGACAAAGGCTGATAACAAACGGTAGAACTCAAAAAAGGACACGTGTTACATTTTTATTCAGATGGAATTGACAGCAAAATTGGTAGTAATAAGTTTCAGGATACACTCTAACGTACTTTATCGTCGAAAATCTCTATAAATGATAACATACTACTTCTACTGACGATTCTATTTTCATGATTAAAGTGTACTAAGTTCAGTGCAAATTGAAACCCCCGTGTCGTATATGGAAACTTGTCATCGTTTAATCACGAAGTTACTTTGGTCATACAAATAACGGTATACAGCGCCTTTTGATACAAATTTAACAGTATGTACAGTGTAGGAAACAAAGAATGAAACATATTCCTACATTTGTTTTGTTCATTCAGTGATGCCTGTGATAAATTGAGAAATAATCAAATTAAAACACCACACTACCGTCAATACGGATATGTCTGTAGAATTTGTTCTTATGCTGGTATGACATTCAACTTTGCTATAGGTTATCTTAAAGACGATTGCCTTGTTTCCGTCTCTGTCGAATACACTTTAATAGATGTCCGCCAAACAACGTGGTAAGGATTCCTGACAGAAGCCCTATAACACAGTATAACATACTTCGCAGTAAACTGTCCTGTTCGAGCCTGAAAACAACAACGTATTTCGTAAGTAAAAATCGCATAACCAAGGTTTCATTATCTATAATATTAATACCAGGAAATAAATTAGTTTTAAGTGTATCAAACTATACAATTGAAACAAAGAAATATATATATTTATTATTACTGTACTCATGGTAGATTGTTATAGTGATTACTATGGATTGTCTGTACTTTATGACGCAGAGAGTTCAGTGTCTGTACTGTTATATAATGTTATTGTACATATAAATGACAATGCCTGTCTGGTTTAATAGATTCATGTATCAATGGCAGTGTGTGTGCTGTCACATATTGTTATTGTATCTATATCATTGACAATATGTATGTCTGTAATAGATTGTTACTGTATATATCAATGACAAGTGTCTGTACTGTGTAATAGATTGTTACTGTATATATCAATGACAAGTGTCTGTCTGTGTAATAGATTGTTACTATATATCAATGACAAGTGTCTGTACTGTGTAATAGATTGATACTGTATATATCAATGACAAGTGTCTGTCTGTGTAATAGATTGTTACTGTATATATCAATGACAAGTGTCTGTCTGTGTAATAGATTGTTACTATATATCAATGACAAGTGTCTGTACTGTGTAATAGATTGTTACTCTATCTATCAATGACAAGTGTCTGTCTGTGTAATAGATTGTTACTGTATATATCAATGACAAGTGTCTGTCTGTGTAATAGATTGTTACTGTATATATCAATGACAAGTGTCTGTACTGTGTAATAGATTGTTACTGTATATATCAATGACAAGTGTCTGTACTGTGTAATAGATTGTTACTGTATATATCAATGACAAGTGTCTGTCTGTGTAATAGATTGTTACTGTATATATCAATGACAAGTGTCTGTACTGTATGAAATATTGTTATAAGTATTATGGACACTGCCTGTTCTGTGTAATAGATTGTAATTGTATTTCTCAATGACAGTGTGTGTACCATTGACAGTGTCTGTCCAGTGTAATAGATTGTTACAATATGTATCAAAGACAGTGTTTTAACTGTGTGATATATTGTTATTATATTTATTATTCAATGTGTCTATAATGTGTGACACTTATATATCAATTATTGACAGTGTCTTAACTGTGTGATATTTTATTTGTTGTTCACGGTGTCTATAATGTGTGATAGATTACTATTATATCAATCATTGACAGTGTCTTAACTGTGCTATACGTACAGCTCGTCATCGTTTCCTTGGTAACACCTTGCGCAGTATCCGCTGGGGCTTTTACAAGTTGAATCCAAAGATTTGGTTTTATCGTCCAGCAGAGTCTGATTGAAGATTAACAAATCGTCCTGCCATTGTCCCACCTGTAAAATGACATGCTTCATGCAGTTGCTTCCACCTTCACGATATAAAGCAAATCTATCTTTATATGGTTATTCACCCTATCTATTCTTTTGATATTTATGGTATTTAAGGTAACGCGTAATGGACATTTAAGTACAGGGGTTGGATTTAGATACACACCTGTCCTCACTTTTAACTGCTATAACTTTAAACCATCTTCATCATTATCATTCAAGTAGCAATTCATAAATATCAAATCTTCATTTGGGTATATACTATAATCCAATACCAATCCTGATAATATTTCTATACACTTTCGACGGTAACTAAGAATGCCATGTCGCATATCCATTATTTGAGCAAGTATTTTGAAGAATTTTCGACCAGCTGAAAAACAGATCCATCTGCATGCGATAATTGAAAAATGTCGGAATCTGAGATTGAGCAGACATGGAGACAATGATGAAATAATGAATCCTTTAACAACATGTCTGCACTACAACATATCACAATTTATTCTGGACAGCAGAGCAATAAGGAAAACAATGTGTTGACGCCGTATAACGAAATCTGACGAAATTACACAATACATGCTCAAATCAGACATGTTTAGCGATTAGAATCTCGCGATAATGGTTTGGAACGTGGTGCATGGAATTAACATTGCTGAATTTAAGGGTATTAGTTAGGCCAGTATGTTTGAAGTAACTCGAGGTGCTGGTTTGCTGATTATTACCAGAAAATGAGTACAAAACGAAACCTGTTAGAATCAAGGACAGCCGCACATCGGCCATTTTGTTTCACTGATAAATCTCGAGAACGAGAAATTGCGACGGACAAAGGGCGATATGAACAGCCAACTATCGGGTGCTAGTGATCTAGTTTTTTTAATATTTCTTACGTGTAAAGGAATTTTTCTATATTTTCTATTGCACATTTTGGAGGCATTGCGAAAGCACGTAAGAACAATCATTTGTGCTTGTAGATTGTACAAAAGACACACAAGTGAATAGCACCTTTAAAAACAATTTAGAGAATTAAACTGAATCATGCAGTTGTTTTGTCCTTTTAGGACTTGTCACTGATAACGAGGGCCTAATTTTTGAATCCTATGAGGTACATCTCTTCTGCATATTTGTAAAACTTTCCGTAATATTACAACATGTTTTGCTTGATTGATGACAACTTATATTCTTGTAATATCAATATCACCCTTCTGCATTTTTTTTATATTTGAAGGGAGACAACTTCAACTTTGATGAAAACTTTAGATTAACTTGATTTTATAATTTACAAATTTACCTGAACAAATGATACATGTTGGTATCTTTATATTACTAAATCTGGCTACTTTTTAAAATGCTCACTAGTAATGTGGTCATATGTTTTGCGATAAAAGAAATAATAATTGTCTTCGTCAGCTTTAATTTCTTCCCTTTTTCATGGCTATAGTCCTGAACGGCATCATATCATCAACCGTAAGATCAACATTATTAATGTATGAGATAAAACGTTAGACATAGAAGGGAGGTTACTTCGGTGTCACCTAATTATAGAACCGGAAGTAGAGATTGTTTTGTAACGTAAAAAATCATGTCTTCATTTTCATGACTGTTATTATGTTTATAACTTTTGCTTGATTGATTTAAGTCTGAGGAGTGTCATTCACTTACATGCATGTATATTTATAGAACATTGCTAACGGTAGTGTGTGATTACATTGTTCATGTACTACAAGACTCGATGGTCTTTATCAAAATCTTGTACGTAAAATGTATTGTTCTGTTTATGAAATCGACACCGTAGACCTTGCCACGTCCTTTAAGTTCACTTGAGAAATGTTGGATAAACACTAATATAACAAAACAATTGACCATGTCTAGCATATACACCCGTCAAGAACCTTCGGAACACTTCGATCTTTTTCCTACAAAGGGGACAGAATTCCACCAAGCTGTATAAGTTACGTGATGAATTGAATTTTCTTATTGTGAAATGTCCATTCATTTCTGGAATAAAACCATCCCCAACCTACCGTGATTACATATCGTAGTTCATTCGACAACATCACGACTTTCGTGCAAGATGTCGGCAACCTACATACATACTGTATGATACAGTTTAATTCATTGTTCGGCAGCACTGTATCTAACTCTAAATTATTAATAGTCGCTAATCACTTGTGTGTCTTTGGTACCGTTTTCAGTTTGACCTAGATTTACATTATGCAGAGGACGCTCATGGGCTTATTTTCCATATACTTTTTTCAGAAGTCTCCAAATCAATCTTCCTTTTGTTTATAGGTTGCACTATTTTCAACAAATTTCAGTTTGAATGATTCTGTTGACGTATCGGTATTGTTGTTTTTCTTTTGTTTTGTTCGTTTGTTTGTTTGGTTTTTTGTTTTGTTTTTGTTTTTGTTTTGCCAAGGAGATGATATCTGTATTGTTTAGCCAATCATTAATTTAGGAGATGATATCTGATTGGCAAATAGATATTATTGCATATAATTTTATGGGATAACATCTTTTTGTTTAGCCAATCAATTTGTTATGAGGTGATAACCTATTCTTTTAGCCAATAGAAGATAAGCATCCGATTGCGTTTAACAAATAAAATGACAATGTAACCACGAACCTACCTTAACATACATCAGTTGACCAGATGTGGTGTTAATTTGCGCATTGTATATATGAAAGCCAACTGTTCCGTCTCCTGTTTCGTCGAACATATAGGTTCGTGAACCTACCGAATCGCCATATTTCTTTTGCACCTTTTTGATTTGATCAAGAAGGAAGGAATACTCCATGTCCTTGTCGAACATGCGACTTTCTTTGAAGGCAATGTCGGCTCCCTTCAGTAGAGCGTAGGCCGCGTTAAGGACAAATGCGTGCCAAGGATCTAAAGTTCCTTTTTTGATCATGTGATCATCAGTACATTTAGTTTTTTCAGATTTGTTAAAAGACGACTCGAAGTAACATCCTAACCTGGCTTCTGCGAATCGCTCTATAAAACTGTTCTGGTAGCGTTCCTGTGATACATTTAAGGACAGCAGATAATCTTGGTAACCGATGTCGTATCCCATTTCCTGTGAAATAGTTATCATTCCACGCAACTTCTGCCGTCCAAATATGTTGCCTTCTCTTTTACCCCAAGAGACTGAAGCCATGAAGATGAAGTCATCGTCTTTTTTCATATTTTCATGCAAGGCTTTAGCGACTACCGATGCCTTGTGTGAACGAAGAAAGAACATGACCAAGCGAGCATCTGTGTGCTTGCGTATGTGACTTAGTACCTCATACTCATTTGAATTTTCATTAACAGACAGAGTGTTGTTCACAACACAAATACCGTATTCCTGTGCCAATTGGAAAACAGCGTCTCGTCCGGATTCTCCAAATTCACCCTCACTGTGTACAATTTGGATGTAGTTTACGCCCATCTTTTTGGCCAGTTTCACCATTAGCTCCGCTTGTTTATAAATCGAAGTTGACACTCGCAAAAATGTCGGGTAAATATTGGTGTTACTAAGCATGCGTGCTGAAGAACAGCAGCCGACCTGTTAAATAATATATCATCAGTCTTAATGAAAAGCTACAAAGTTCTATCTTAAACTAATTGCGCACTTGTCTTTCTACTTTAGAGAAGTAAAATCGAACAAAGGTCATACAGAATAAACCGCCACATTAATCTCCAAATCCTTCTACAATTAATGTTTCTCTATAGTAACGTGACAACCTTTGGTATCGTTCTTAAATTGATACTCATTTATACACATGGTATTTCCGAAAAGCAAAAGGAAAGAAAAGAAGACTTTGGTCATGATATTTGTTAACCTACTTTTCGTTGTAAGATCCATATAGCCGGCTATTTCCACGGGACAATATTTTCGCTATATTCAGTTATGTTAGCTTGATCGTAATAATTGATTAGGTGGAACAACGAGACACATGTGTATCAGATATCATTTTAAATTTTAAGATTTAAAACATTAAATTAATGTTTTTATTTAAAATAATAAACTAAATTATAACTACGTCATTTTAAAGTTTTGACTAGTTATTTCTAGCTATACGGTATTTTACTATTGTAGTAACATGTTAATAGTTGTCATTGTTCAAATGTTCAAATAACTTCATTATTTCATATTTTAAGATAGCAGTTTACAAACATTACCATTATATACATACCTGGACGATTCCGAGGCTGCTAAATATACTGGCAGCTGCCATAGTTGCCGTGCTTCCTAAAGGTCCCACAACACCAAGAATCCTGTTGCTAAATTCTCTCTCTTTAGACAGCATGTCCAGAATTCTTTTCTGTGTGACTAGTGGGTCGTTACAAGTGTCCATGATCCTGTAACCGATAGTCTTACCCGGAAACATATCACTAGCATTGTTCACCTCTTCTACAACATATCCGATTGCCATGGCAATATCGAGTCCAATACTGGGACGGATATTTCCACACGCTAAGGGAGACACTGATCCTTGGTCATGAAGAGGCATTAACCCCACCACTATCAAGTCGCCCGGTTTGTCAATGACCTTTGACGAAAGATTTGACGTCATACATTCTGGACATGAGCCATTGCATTGCGCAAAACCAGTAAAACCTTGAAAACTATCGGTACACGTGAGGATGTCGTTTCTGTAGTGTGCTACCTTAAAAATATACGAAATATACAATATACAACGTAAGTGAAATAGTGAATATTCAAGAAAATGAAATGATTCTGAATAAAGAAGAAATATGAAACTATGCAATATCTTGATTCAGATACTGAACATAAAAAATTGCTAAAGCAGAAACACTAAAATAAAAGGAATTGAAATGCAGAATTGTAGAACTATAGCTAAGAATGCTGAAGATCTTATTATTTCCTTGCGGTTAAAATGATATTCAGTACGAGTTGGGATTTTATATCAAATTTTTTAAATAAAAAAAATTCACAAAAAGAATTTTATTTAAATTGTGTGCCTCAATTCACCATATAGGATTTAGGATATTGATTTATGGATATCCCATAAAGATTTAGCTAGATTTATTTGCAAGCAATATCTTGAACAAGACACAGCCACAACATGCTTGCTTTTTATTAGGCGAACAGTGTGAAACATTCATTTATATTCAAATATCAATAAGAATTAAGAGAAAGAAAGTCATAAATCTCCGATACCTTTAAATTATGAGTGAAAATTACGTCCAAATGAAATTAGAAATAAACAGAAGACGAAATGGAAAAGAGGAACGACTTTTGAGAAGACAACGTCTTAGCTGAGTTTGGAGGCAAGATCTCCATCAAACTAATTGCATACTAACTGTGTCCCTCTGTTGACTGACTTATTTTTGTTCCCATACGAGGTTGAATTTATAAAAACAAGTCACAGAGACTCTTATCGCGATCTCTTCCTACAATGAAACCAACATGGACAGCATTCAAGCAAGTTGATAAACTTGATGATTTCCATTTCCCCATTGTTAATTTTCCATTTCAGGATAGTAACATTCCTGCGCCTCCAACCTATGGAGTTTACCTGTCGCAGTTGTTCCGATATTCAAGGGCTTGCTCACATTATCACTTACCGTGCAAAAAGTCGTCAAATTAGGGGCAAACTCGTAACACAGGGTTTCAAAAGATGCAGATTGATGAAAATTATTAGGAGGTTTTACGAGCGTCGTAGTGATCTCTTTGTGAAATGTTTTATTTCTTTGTGCGATATGAAGCTGTAAGTGTTTCATGCTAGTTAGTTTGTCTGTTGGTTCCGTTGTTAATTACCTTATTCTCATTTGAGATCATGACATCACTTTGACGGATTGATCAAAACTTACAAAAAGCAAAGACGCTTACTCTTCCGGAACATACGGTGCTTTATACTTCTTCAGGATTTGCTTTTCTTTCTTCTTTTCAGACAGTCTAAGTTGTATTGGCTGTGGTATTTCTACCAATTCAAAATGACCTTAAGAAAGAAATTTTGATGCTAACAATAGTTTAAAAAAACATCAAAAGTTCCAAAACGGTACGCTAAAGATATGTAAATTAACAGGCAAAGTAATGAAAATCAAGCATGTCGAACTTGGTCTCACACAAAGAAACACAAACACAACGGGGTCATAACGGAAGCACTAAGCTTGCCCAATATCTTGGTATATCTGATTATTTTGTCGGATTGTAAATGCCGTCGGTTCATGTAACAGAATGAACTAATTACCAACCTTGACCTTGCAGAGCGCTTTCCCTGGCGATCCAGTGCAGTCTTTATATCGATACACTTCATACATCGGGACATGTGGAGAAACAAGTTGAATTTCCCCATACCTGTCAAACCTAATCTTCAAATCGTCCTGATCAAATGATGAAATTCTAAAAGGGAAATCGGTAAAATTAATTGACAAGTTTGATATTATATTGATTAAAGAATTCCGATCAGCTTTGATGAATTCTGGGCATGCTCCATTGAATGCTTCTCCGCATCGCTGGATGTGAAGTGACCGCAGTGCCATAGCCATCACAAAAGCAGCCTTAATGGAATATTGTACGTATAGAGACTGATTCGTTCCCAAAACAGTTTCATTCAACCAAGGATTCTTTATCGCACGCTCCATCAAGAACGTTTTGTTGGAGGCAATTTTCTCCCAATGAGCTACAAATTCAGTTATCACCCTTGTTGGTGGAGAGAGAAAGAATGTTTTTGGTAACACATTACTTCCGGTATGGAGAACGGTCGTGCTTGATGCTGAATCCGAAAATATCACAGAGGGTATGTTCCTGTCTGAAACCTCATTACATAAGTTGATAAAACTTTTAGCATGATCGTAACTCCCAAAAAACACGATTCCATTGATTTTTTTCGCTGATAGTTTTATCATGATACTTTGGTAACTGTCTTGGAGTTCTGTTGATATGGGTCCTACTGTTTCCATGGAAGAAATGCATATGTTTTCCGTGTTGGCTAGTGTTTGCAAGTAATCTGTAGCATTGATAGCGTAAACGTCATCTTCCCTAATTACGGAGATGTAATTCCAATGTAATTCTTTGAGAAGAGAGATAATGGTCTGCAATAAAATAAAATTGCATTTAGTGTTTAAACTAACCAGAAATATAAAGATATTGGAGCCATATTGATTATCATATATTTGGTTTGGGTAAGATTCATTCGAGAACTTTCGATTAGTTTTTCTCGAAATGTATCAATAACAAAATAACCAAGATTGTACAAAAGACAAACAGGTAAATAGAGTCATCCTTCCAAGACATGATGCTAGGGGCCAAAATTTTAAAACCTTGGAGGTAAATGAAGAAAACTAAACTGATCGAAACAAGTTCTCAGTGGGAAGATCCATAATTAAACAAATTTATATTAGTTTATATTCAGTACCGTGGTACAATTTGAATGAATTAAAACGTGGCATGTAAAAGCGAAAACATTCCATGCGTAGTATTTTATAACGTTATCAAAGGTCCTAGCATCAATTATCATGTACATGTATGTCGATTGTTTTATATTACGACACGAAATCTAGCGTCTGTAATATACCTTAATGTTTTACTTTGTCTGATTATCGGGTAAACCCTCGAAACTATCAAATTCAGTTTATAGTTTCAGATTGAATGATCAAATCAAGGATACAATTTGAGAATGTTAAATGTGGACATTGAAAACAGCAAATTGGAACGTTAACATGTCGATGTGTCAACAGTGTCTGATTCAAAATAAAATTGTAGGAAATTTGTGGAACTATGAACAAAGGAAAGCTTTTCAAAAAACTCATATTTACAGGATAGCATAATCTTTTTGTAAAAGTTTCAAGCGTTTAATTGTGAAAGGGTCGGGCCTCCTTCAACTACTTCTGTTTCCCTATAATGAATTACCCTTTCTGAATTTTGACATGGCTGCTACTCTAACTATTGGTGTCAAGATGAAGCAGTAAATTCTTTGTAGAATTCGGGGATATCGTGAAGTCTTTGATACATTTCAGACAAGTGCTCCGATAGGTTCGTAACTGTTAAGTTAATTTCAAAGATAAGGGGTTATATCTGTGGAGCAAGCACATGGTCGATAGGAGGATATATAAAACTTTAAAGTGATGTTTATTGAGGAAGTAGTGGTTTTTCAAAATAACCATATGTCAAGAGGAGATCAGAAAGTGTTTACCTTTACTTGAGTGTTGTCGGGAGGTATGACCCTAAACAAGTTGTTGTACACATCCTTGTTCGTGAAGAGTGACGAGGTCGGCTCGTACACAACCTGAGGTAGTCTGTAACGTCCGGGCAGCGAACTCAGGATCCGGGAACTTATATTCGTCTCTGCACTTGTACCGGGGCCAATCACACCTACGTTACAGTTAAATATTAAATGTACTGTCGAATTGACAAGTTACTAATGTGATACGTCAAGTGATCAAGCATATTCTTCTTATCGTCCTAAACAGTTGAAACGAATAAAGATGTAAACAAGTAGCGATTAATTATCTCATGGAAGACAGATAATTGCAAAAAACAGATCTCAAAAGTGGGTGTCTTAACACCTGTTATAAAAATAGTCATATTTGTACTATTGATATCGTTTAACTATTTCAATTTTTCGAAAACAAAACGGACAAGACGTCATATATATATATATGACATCTACACGTAATGACGTTAGGACATCTACTCATAATGACGTCAGGACATTTACACGTATTGACGTTAGAAAAAGTTGTGACAATTAAACTGAAATCCATAAAATTATCTCGTATATAATATTTTCAATACATATGTATCTTTACATCACATATGTCACACACGTCTTGAACTCTGTGTTTAAGTTGTAGCCAGTAAATTGGTATAAAAGCGTAAAGCGGAATTTACTATATTAGGTGGGGCATATCCCTAAAGTTAACATCAGAACTGCCAAGTTTTGCTCGGTTCATCTGAAGATGGAATACTTTTCAAAATCCATACTTTTATTTGTTACAACCATAGAAAATAATAATAAACTGATTATTTTAAGTGATCTGGTCTGTTTATCTAAAAAAAAAACGAGAATTATATTGTTTTGTTCAACATTAATAGTGTTGACATATTGTAATTACAAGCGGCTCTATGTTGCCTTATTTTCGTAGATAAATAAAATGACAAATGATATATATATCTTGAAAATATAAATATTGTAAATGGAGAAAGATATAGTCCATTACACAACTTTTCAATCGCTACCTAAATTGTCGTTCCTTACAATCGCGAATACGCTATGAACTCTGGCAAAGATTATGTAAAATACTCTTTTTGATTCAAGTTTTCAATAACACCGCGAAAATTTGGAAAATCGTAAAAAATTCTGCAGCACCATACATATTATTTACGCTGTTGATGTACTGATGTTACCATTTTCACGGTAATGCAGTAATATATCACCATATGTTCTTTCCAAGTTATGAATGTATTTAAGAAGGATGCAATTAGTACCTACCCATTAGTACTTCATCATCTGCTTCACTAACGATACGTGCTGTTTGAAGGCTCGTGAGTTGTGGAGAACGGCAGGTTTTGTACGGCTTTAAAACTGAAAGAAACAGAGAAATTACATATATGCTACAGCAAATTCCATCAGGATAGATATCACGACAATAGCCGGATAAGTAAGAACATTTTCGTTTTGCAGAGCAATGCAAGTAATAGGAATTATGCAGACAAGAGCAATGAACATGTTCATAAAAGGAGTTAAATCATGATTTTACACATGAGCAGGAAGGGTAAGCTAGACACTGATGAGAGGGACACTGTGAACTAATGCCAACACAAGACCAGGAAGTGTAAGCTAGACACTGATGAGAGGGACACTGTGAACTAATGCCAACACAAGACCAGGAAGTGTAAGCTAGACACTGATGAAACGGACACTGTGAACCAATGTCAACACAGGACCAGGAAGGGTAAGCTAGACACTGATGAACGGACACTGTGAACTAATGTCAACACAGGACCAGGAAGGGTAAGCCAGACACTGATGAGATGGACACTGTGAACCAATGTCAACACAGGACCAGGAAGGGTAAGCTAGACACTGATGAGATGGATACTGTGAAATGATGTCAACACAAGACCAGGAAGGGTAAGCTAGACACTAATGAGACGGACACTGTGAACCAATGTCAACACAAGACCAGGAAGGGTAAGCTAGACACTGATGAGATGGATACTGTGAACTAATGTCAACACAAGACCAGGAAGGGTAAGCTAGACACAAATGAGACGGACACTGTGAACCAATGTCAACACAAGACCAGGAAGGGTAAGCTAGACACTGATGAGATGGACACTGTGAACTGATGTCAACAGAAGACCAGGAAGGGTAAGCTAGACACTGATGAGATAGATACTGTGAACTGATGTCAACACAAGACCAGGAAGGGTAAGCTAGACACTGATGAGATAGATACTGTGAACTAATGTCAACACAAGACCAGGAAGGGTAAGCTAGACACTGATGAGATGGACACTGTGAACTGATGTCAACAGAAGACCAGGAAGGGTAAGCTAGACACTGATGAGATAGATACTGTGAACTGATGTCAACACAAGACCAGGAAGGGTAAGCTAGACACTGATGAGATAGATACTGTGAACTAATGTCAACACAAGACCAGGAAGGGTAAGCTAGACACTGATGAGATGGATACTGTGAACTGATATGATTATCAGCAATATTAGTCTACTACAACTGGTAAATTATATAAATCTACATAAGATAACCAAAGACCAAACCGTTGTAGTCACTTGACCTTGTACACAGGTATAACAGAATAGTCTCCTCCTTGCGGAAGGGGACGTGATAGCTCAGCCGGTTCAAACATTGGCCAACGTTACCTCGGATTACCTCTTGAGGTGCATGGTCCGACGCTCAATACCCTTGGTGGTTTGCGTTTCTAGGGAACTGAGAAATGCACCAGTCTGTACTAATTTTGTTGCGTCTTTTAGAAAGGCACTTTAACCTAATTACTTTGGTTGACATGGGACAAGTCTCACGTATGTTGTGAAGTCAAAAAACGGAAGTAGATAAATGGTCTAAGATAAAAATAAAGTTTAATTGTATTGTGTTTGATATATCAAAGCTTCAATTACACCCGAAATTAACATTGAAGGATACGGCAACAAACTAACGGGAAAATATCAGAAATGTCCATTAAATACATTAAGGACTAAGGCGACTTGGAACTGTAAGGTTTCCTGCACTTATTGTTGATCTAGCCACTGTCAGACGTGGATTACATCATGCACTCTTAATCTAGGTCAACAGTGGCAGAAATATTTCAAGAAATTACTTTCAGTATTCCATCAAAGCCATTACAATTCTATTATTCTGTCGTTCACTCACATGTATAAATCAATTTATTATTCTTACATACAAAATCTTGGGCCATGCAATGGAAAGTACATTGCTTCATTTAGTTCTGCAATGGGTGGATTAAGGGTTGTCTCTGTAATGTACAGGCTTGGTAAGGAAATGTAGAACGTTTGCACATTAAGGAATAATTTATATTATCTATTTTATGTTGGAACACATAGTCTTAATCCTGTATTTTTAAATGGTCTCTGTATAATTGTTTTCATTATCTGCCCTCGTATTATCGCTTTGATTGTGAATTAACATTCTGGTGAAATGCAACTATTTTCTTGTCTTCATAGTCGCGAAAGTTGCTATAACATCTATTAATTTTGTACAATCTTAAATATTGCAAATGGCCCGTTGACGTTTAGTTCCGAGGTTTGGCGTACATACCACGTTTTTCTTCATCCGAGAAGAAATAGAATTCATTCAATATCTAAAATTATTGAATTTACCTTCCAATCTGGTTTTGAAATCTATTTCTACCAATAAGGATCTTTCTTATTCGTTACCAAGGTTTTAAGATAATATTTTATGCTCGGAGTATCACTGATGAATCCTGGAAGGACGAAACAGCGATACGATGCAGTTTATATCACCTTATACTTAATTCTTCTCTTTCTAATTCTCAACTTGCATGGTGAAAACTTTTGTGTCTTTTGTACAATTCGCATACAAAGGACAAACCTTAGGACAATTACATCGTGACGGTAGGCGTACCTATTTTGACCCCTGGTATGTACTGATGTGAGTTGAGGTGCTCGAATATCCAGAAGGCCGATTCCAGTGCTTGAACCGACGCTATGTTGATTTCACTGCACTTTTCTTCGCTGTATATGTTATATATGTTAAACAGACCAGCAACTCGCACCTCTGTCCCGTATGCAAGCGTCCGCTTAGTGTCATTGGCCAGTCCTTCCGTCAAAATGGCACCGCCCCCAATAGTCATGACAGATACCAAAAAGATGTGGAGAGAAGGAAATAATGACATCATGACCAGATCGCCTAAAAACAAAGAACAATGTTATGACGGGGATTATTCATACGTACAATACCAAAGTGAAATCATATCGGAACCTGGTACAACAGGAGAGTTAGGTTGTGGTATGTAATTGTCTATAATATTTAAAAACCCTGAAAAGTAATAAGAACTATTTATCGTAACCGCAGATATCTATAGAAAACGGAAACATTATGTACTGTAGTCACCTGAAATTGAAGCATAGCCCTGCTGTCTCTGTAGACGTTATAAATACAACGGTACATTGTCGACTTCTTCCCAAAGTTTGAGATACGATAAACATTAGACTAAATATAAAAGAATCATACTGTCAATATTTTATCCATTGAGTAACAATGATTATGCTTTGTATTTTTATTGTCTCACAGAATAACAATAGTTTTAATCAGTCTGCTACGGAAGCGTATTCCGGCCACGTTTTGTTTTATTTTAACTCGAAAATTCGAGATAGTAACTCGAAATTTCGGGTTAGTGATCCGAAATTTTGAGTTATTAAGTCGAAATTTCGAGTTGCTATCTCAAAATTTTGCATTGCTATCTTGAAATTTCGGGTTAATATCTCAAAATTTCGGATTACTAACTCAAAATTTCGAGTTGCTATCTCGAAATTTCGAGATAAAATAAAACACAACTTGGCCGGAATACGCTGCCGTAGTCGTGTGAGATTATTTAATGTTTTCCACGCAAAACTATGACGTTTTCTCTTTGTAAAATGTGGAATAAAAAAACGATCTTTACACATCATTTCAGCACTATAAATATTCATTTTGACAGGTATCATAACCCGATTTTCTTCCTCACGTAATTACGGAAGACATGACATACACATGGATATGTCGCCTATTCTAAAATAATTGATTATTCCTTTTTAGTATTAATCAATGTTTGTTCATCTCTTGGCTAACCAATTAACTTTACTAACAATCAATACCTTTGCAATGTTAATACAAACCTTTTATGTGTATCCGGAAAAAAAACTGTTTTGCTAGGAAGTTTACAGAACCTATTTATAATGTTCCATCTTCCGGGTCAGCAACAGTACAGCCAATGATATTCTTGATAAACCGTCCACAGACAGTAAACGCACTGGAGTGTCCTCTTTTATAACATCCATAAACTTGTCGTCAGGGTCACACTTGACTCTCAATAATTGAAATGATATTAATCTTCAACATTTTAAGTGTGAATAAACTTAACAAAAATAACTGTTTTAAATAAATAATAAAAAGTAGACCAGGAAGTATTTTCTACAGAAAGTGGAATTTGGACATGTTTTGGGACTTAAATTATTTCTTGTTCAAGGTTTTGCTTCAAGTAAGAAAAGATTCTAGAATATTATTCAATGTTTGTATTAGGATGATGGCATTTGATCTGAAAGTGATTTTGGGTTGTGTGAGTCATTTAATAGTAAATGTAGAATTATTTTCTTAAATTAGAAAAAAAGGTGAAATTGTGAAATTTTGCCAAGAACGTGAGTTTTATTGTAATAAACTTATGCTCTGGCAATACAGTGTATACTGCCAACTGTTCAATTTCATGGAGCTAATATTTCGCGGGGCTGATATTTCGCGGGACTGATATTTCGCGACTGTACCGATTAATATTGATATCATTCAATATATTCAAGTATCTCAAGGACAATGTAGTAGATCGTGCTTTGTTACTAGAAAAGGAAGTTAAGGGAAAATCGTCCCTCATTGTGGAACAGCCAGTTTACCTGATATACACAACATAATGGTGTAGTGTTGAATTTCGGCGTAAATTTGTTTTATATTGCATTTTTTCCCTCTCTTTGAAATCAAGATTCCTTCTCGAATGGTAGGTAATCGGACGATGCTAAAGTTATTGAATACAGTCAAGTTCATTGTCAGATTCTTGTCACGATTTCTCGTACACAAGTTATAGAACTACACAAACCGAAAACATTTTGAAAGCCAATAGACTGTATTCCCATCCATTTTAGCAGCATTTTGACAAGGAAATCTGCTGTGCGAGTTGCAACCAGTTTCCATGCCGTTATCTATTTACGATATTTGTTATGAAGGCAGTTCTAATGGAATTTAGTTTAAGCGTAGTTTTAGGTCGTGAGCTTTATTTAATAGTAAAATTAGAAGAATAATTCTCCAAAAAGTGAAATTTGTACATGTTTTGGGACTTTAACTTCTTCGTAGTTAAGGTTTTGTTGTAAGTAAAACAAGATTTTAGTATATCAATCAATATTTATACTAGGATGATGGGATTTTATCTTTGATGTAATTCTGGGTTGTGTGAGTCATCTAATGATGAGGTGTAAAATCATGTTCTTAACCTGAGTGAAATATTAGGTGTAAATATTTTAAGAAACTTATATGTTTGACAAAATATAGAGTATATTGTAAACTGTTCAATTTTTCACCAGTTTCACACGGAAGCTTCACAGTCTGCCTAGAGGCAGTCTTGTACCTGGAACAACGCAACATCAAGAGTGAAATTGCCTATTCAAGCAGAAGATAATCCAGATCAGAGGCAAAGTATCCTGCCCATCGAACGGAGATCCTGGTAGAAAATTGTCAATGACTATATTGCGCTGTTCTGGCCGACAAGAAATAACATCAAGGAGAAGTTTGACGCGATATCACAAAGATGGGAAGTCACCACCACGCTACCAGTTGCCATATACGATGGCGAGATCATCGTCATCACCAGTTTTAACAACGGCATTTGGAACTCTCCGTTAATCCACAACATTTCCGTATCGACAATCACACAAGGTACCATCAGTGACCCGGTGAAACAGTGGTCATGATCTAAATCAAGGAAATAGGCCTTTTGGCCTCCTTTATAGAGACATGAGTACAGTTGAAGGTAGATTTCTATGACGAAGGACAATATAGAAAGGGAGATAAACATGTAGAGTTTCCCATGTTGTGATCGCATGTTTCAAGGTGTAAAACGTTTGTTGCTCGTTAGGTATATTGTGACGTTGGTATTCCATGGTGTGAATTTCTATTGATCACTCAAGTACCATTTTATTTGATGTTTTCATTGGTTCGTTCCGAGTGATCACGATCACGTTCTTTATCTTTGTTTGGTTTCGGCAGTACCTCCTGAAGTCGCATAGTTGACGAACTTGGTTGAGATTTGCAGGGTTAAAGCAGCAGAGTATTCGGTTCACTGAAATTAAAGTTTGTAACGTCCTCGTACGAAACACTAAAACACCTAATATTGCTTAGAGAGTTTTTTTCTTAAATCGAAACACTGGTACAAGTATTGGCGGGTCTATATGGTCTAGAGCCGTGGATTTTTTCGCCACGGAAAACCGGGTTCCGTGTTGGTGATCTCGACTGGGATTTTTCTTGCTTTTTTTATTCTGTGATAAGACGAAATATTGAAGAATAGCTTGTCCACGCTAATGGCTAGAATTAATTTTACGACGCCAGTCACACACTGACAAGACGACTTGTACTCTGTGGGGTTCTAACCTAAAGAGTAATTAAGCCAGAACGCACGGGGTAATATTGATAAAGATTAGAAAAGTAATCTTGTGTATTTGTACTATATAATTTACTATAATTAAGACAAGTGATCGTACATTTGTGAAGTTAACTACGTCGTATATATGAGAACGTCTTCGCTACAATGAAATTGTTAGGGTGTAAAATGAAACCGTCATATCATTTGTATTATATAATTACGCAGCCAAATTGAGTGTGTTTAACATGGTTGATACACAGAGAGAAATACATCACACCACGAGATGAAAATAAAAGATGCATTTTTATAAAAAGAAATTGTTGTAAAAATATTGTTATTGTCTGAAACTCACTTATACAGGGTACCTGGCAAAAAGCACATCTTCCGTTGTTTGTGAGCCATCACAGTGAGAGACATATAGAGTGCAACAGGTGAAAATAGATAACATCTGCCATTCTTGCCGAAGGACAAAATTGATTTCAAACAAAACAACTTTTTTATTCGTGTACACTGTATGAATGTTATTCTCAAGTGTGCCAGATACTGCATATTGAGGATAGACACCGCCAATGCCTAAATTGATTTATTTAACAGCGCGTCAACAAATGTCAGTCGTGCAGCGCGCAGGAAATGATTCTAAATCAAAGAACGTTAAAAAAGGAATAACAACAGTAAAGGGGAACCAAGTACAGAAACAGCAAAATCAACACACAAGGCAAGAATAACAGAAATGTACACGTGTAGCTAATACGAAGCGTAAGTGAGATTACGCTATTGTGAAAAAGGCATCGTCCTTCGTTCCTCTAAACTAAATAAGACTTGGTTGTGATATTTTGCCCATAGCGCTTGGGATAAATTACTATTAATCGTCCTCGTGTGAATTAATTTTACTTCTTTTTTTCAGGGTCACAAGTGATGATAAATATGTTAAACTTTTAAGAATCGCCTAAGCTTCGACACAAGGTAGGTGTATTTGGGTATCATGGATGGTTGCTGTAAAGCTTCCTCGTATGTTGACCAAGGTCAATGTCGTGGAGATCATATGTGTTAGAACTCTCTACTGATTTCCTTCTCAAGTTCCAGAATACCTAGAGTCCTGATGTTTTGTTAGCAGTTACACGAATTAAGATTGGATGTTTAAGAGTTTCCACAATGACACCTGACCTTTTTTCATGGTCAATGGGGTCACCTTCTGAAATTTTTTTTCTGGAAGCCGCGATTATCACAAACTATATATCTATTATTTTGTTTGTTCCTTTCTTTACATAAATAATGCTCGTCGTAGTCATCAAAGTTATATCTATCCCTCCAGACCAAGGAATACAGAACTTATCTATGCTGTTTATATTCTTTGTAAATATTTATGAAAAAAATTGTCCGTTTATGCAATAGGAACGAACTTCATATTCTCGTACATTAGACAAGAAATTAACACATAATTCACAAGGGTGTTCCCGTTGTTGTTAGGAATTGGA